GGGCAGATAGCAAGAAAAATTATTTACCTGAAAAAAAACAACAACAGAAATTTCAGGCCCCACATAAATAATTGGATCGTTTTGTAAATATTCTAAGTAAATCTAAACAGTGAAAGGCTGAACTCCTTTGACAGGGCATGCATATCACATTGAGCAAGAAAATGAGAAAAAGAAAATGAACTCAAGAGCCTGATACAGTCAACTATCAGCTAGGGATAGGCGAGACACACAAATCTTCCAAGTTACCAAATTTGTTCATTCTGCAGGTGGTTCCAGTTGTTATAGTTTTATAAATGGGACATGCTTTAATAATACATTCCAAACAAGAGAAGAAATAACAGCCATTTTTCTCATCCACTCAACCAATCCTACCTTCTTTATCTGTGGCAGGTGCACCCAGAGCATAACCAAGATCTCCAAACCTGTCTGGACTGCTAAACACTAACATGCCTTTTTTATTGCCTGGAGAAGGCTTTTCCACAGTTTTCCATCTGGCATATTCAGAAAGTTGCTTACTAAGACTACATGAAGAAGGAAAGAAAATGCATTAGGTAAGAATAATGGCATTTCAATTTATACTTTTATTGTGACAATAATATTAATTAATTATTATAAAAGAAAAAAGTATAATATTTTATTAGAGACTACAGTTGGAATTCTAAATGTCAACAGCTGTTATTTTTCAATACATATACCTTAATAATTTACATATATACCTGCAATCTGGTCTGCAGACACACCCTAATAAATCGATGGAATTTCTCATATATGTAGATCAAATTGTGGGATCTTGACCTTAGTGTGATACTGTTTTGTTGATATGTGAGATAACAGGTAAAATAGAATACAGAGGGACTTTCATATTTAAAGGACCTAGGCCTTCTAACATTTAATATTATAGATTTACTAAAAAAAAGTGTGTAATCAGGAGATTACATATACCACAGAGAGTGGTCATACACATTTAACTAAGTTATCTTTTAACAAAGATGGCATTTTCTTAAGTAGAGAGCCTCAACCAACCTGAAGTTAAAAATCAGGGTGGAGTATAAAATGAAATATTAGCATAAAGCTTTCTACAGTGTTGGGTTCCTGCGATATTAAGAATGGAACATCACCCTTGAAGAAATCTTGACACTCCACTTTCTCATCTAGCATGCCTATATTTAACAGGAGAACAGCAAGAACTTTTTTTTCTACAAGTGAACTGGATTCCAGATGGGCCAATTCAGCATTTCTAATCATGTGTGCTTGAAGTTTTGAAACGCTAACAGGGAAGTGTAAGCACTAATAACTTTAACTGCTTCAGACAGACTACAATTTTTGCTAGTAGCAGTAGAAACCTCGGTGGGTATGCTCCCATGTGCAGAGGCATGCATTTCCAGGGGCACAAAAAGCAGTGGCACACATTTGTGCTGCTGCTTTGTGCGCCAGGGCATGCTCCTGCACATGAGCTCCAGCGCATGCCAACCTGTCCTGGGTGGGGTAAGGGAGGCTGAGGCCAGCACCCGTGCTGACCCCAGCAGTTACCTGGGGTCCTGGGGCCCTCCTGGGGCAGCAGTGTGACTGATTCCCCCTCACTCCCTACCCCCCACCTCCCTCACCACCTGCCTCCTCATGACCTGCCCCCGCTTTTTTAATCTTACTTAACTCTTGGTTTCAGTGATCTATTGTGGCAATGAGTTTCACAGGTTCTATAGTTATAGAAAAATGAGGTTCATATGTTAAAATGAATTATTTTACTGCTTATTTCTTTGCTTTTTGTGGTGCATACTGGTATCATACACATTTTAGCAAACCTCCTAAGACTTTTGTGTACAGGAATTTCCCAGGTGTTTATTTAAATAAATATGTATCTATGGCACCACAATGGAACTTTCAATATGTATTACCACAATGGAACTTTCAATTCTCTTTTTAATAAGTTAGCACACCAAATTTGAACACTAAATAAAAAAATGAGGAAAACAGAGATTTCAGTCAGCTTTACATAAAAATCTCAATAGATCCTTAACTGTGAAGTTGCTACGAAAAATCAAATTTGAAGTTCTGACAATGACAAATTTCCCATTTTAAAAAAGATGTAAAACCTTACCCAGAATATCCACCAAGATGAGCATAATCCTCAGCTGTACATCCACTTACATCTTTATGAGAAAGATCTGCACCATGCTCAAGCAGAATTTTTATTAAACTAAGCTCTCCACCAGAAGCAGCAACCATGAGGGGTGTCCTAAAACAACCAAAGGATTGTATTTAATACATTCGTTTAGTAAAATCTTTCACCTTCATTGCTTTAATTCCTACTTGTCCTCCAATCTTTCCCCTAATGCAAGCTAAACACACAGAAAGTAAAACATTCAAAATATTCTCATTATAAGGGAAAAGAGAACAGAAAAAGCCAATGAATGTATTCAGTCTTCAGAGCAAAGTTTCAGGTAATACCAATACTAATATATGACTAACCAATGGAATTTTACCTTACTCTAATGCACATGAATTACTGTTGTCAATAGTAGGGCCCCTACCACTGTGATACTATGAGTGGGAATTCTTTCCTAAAATTCCTTATGCAGGAAACAAAACTACTGCAGAAAGATGAAGGCACCAAATGTACAGAGAATAGCTTAGCTTCTAGAAGTCAGTGTGAAGTGAGTACATTTATTTGGCTAATTAATTATTCATAGTTTCATAGATTAAGGGTTGGAAGGGACCTAGTAGATCTTCTAGCCCGACCCCCCACCAGGGCGGGAGAACAAAAACCCCAAAAACAAGAAACGGGACTCAAATGAGTCCAGCCAGGTAGGCATCCAGCTTCTTCTTAAAGACCCCCAGGATAGGGGCCAGCACCACTTCCCTTGGAAGTTGGTTCCAGCTCCTAGCCACCCTAACTGTGAAGTAGTTTTTGCGGATGTCCAGTCTATACCTCCTCTCCATCAACTTGTGCCCATTACTCCTTGTTATGCCAGCGGGCGCCAGGGGAAACAGCGTCTCCCCCAAACCCTTCTGGTCCCCCCTAGTGAGTCTATAGACGGTCACCAGGTCCCCCCTCAGCCTTCTCTTGTGGAGGCTGAATAGGTTCAGGTCCCGCAGTCTCTCACTGTAGGGTCTGCCCTGTTGTCCCCGGATCATGCGGGTGGCCCTCCTCTGGACCCTCTCCATGTTGTCCACATCCCTCTTGAAATGGGGCGCACAGAACTGGACACAATACTCCAGCTGTGGCCTGACCAGCGTCGCGTAGAGGGGGAGGATCACCTCCTTGGCTCTACTCGAGATGCACCTGTGGATGCACGACAAGGTCCGGTTAGCCCTGCCAACCATGACCTCGCATTGTCGGCCCATGTTCATCTTGGAGTCAATAATGACTCCAAGATCTCTTTCTGCCTCCGTGCTCTCGAGTAGGGAGTTCCCCATTGTGTAAGTGTGCTGCTGGTTCCTACTGCCCAAGTGCAGCACCCTGCACTTGTCCGTATTGAAACGCATCCTGTTCCTGTTAGCCCACCCCTGTAACCTATCCAGATCCCTCTGCAATCTCTCACTCCCTGCTAGCGTGCTCACCTCCCCCCAAATTTTGGTGTCATCAGCGAATTTAAACAGGTTACTTTCCACCCCATCATCCAGATTGCTGATGAAGAAATTGAACAGCGCAGGCCCCAGGACCGAGCCCTGGGGGACTCCGCTACCCACCTCCCCCCAGGTCGAATATGACCCATCCTATTAACTTGAACTGTTTCACCTCATTCACCTAATTAGAGTACCAGAATACTAAGGGAATTGGCTTTATTCATTTTCAATTATGCAATTAAACAGAACTAACAAGTGAAATTTCACCACAATTTAATCTAAGAGGGACAAAAAATATTTTTTCACTCAAGCTGAACATGGCTTTAGGCAAACTACTTTCTACAGAGGAATCAGAAGCTCTTTCTTAATCACAAAATCTGCACTACTGAGAAGGACATATACAGCAAATCACAGACTGTTTCTATACCCATGTACAAATAAGAGCATAGCCATTCAAGAGAAATGCAATTTTTCAGAGAAGATTGATTGTAACTAGTACTTGAAATGAGAGACTGTTAGCCATAGACCTGATGTCAAGGAAACCCTCCAGCAGCCAAATGTATCTGGTCTTACACTGTACAAACTAAATCTCTTTTAGGCAGATGATCACTAGCGAGCTGGTGAAAATAAAGTTTCATTAGGGAACTGAAACATGCCTATTAAAGAAAAGCACAGCAAACTTTAAGGTACAGATGTTGCTGCAAGAATAAAGTCCTGCTTTCCTATACATTACAGGGCGCATCTACACGTGTTCTTTAACGAGCATTAGCCTTTTTAATGACCATTAAAATGTCATGTAAAAAAGTGCTTTTTACTTACCATGCATTAAAATAAGCTAATGTGCATTAAGTGTCACTTAAAAAGAGTTCGCCTTAGTCGGGGCAGCCAACTACAGCATGACTAATGCAGCATTAGTGCATTAAGCCAGGCTAATGCACATTTACCTAGTACCTCATAGTGGAAGGTGCCTGTATGCAAGTGCAGAGGCTGCTCTGATGTGCTGTAATTAGTGTGTAAGAGCAGACTCGATTAATTGAGTCTGCTGGAGTGTGGTAATTACCACATGCCAGCAACCTCTAACAGTTCATGTATCAGTGTCCCTGTGCTTCAAAATGGCAATGGGGGCGCTTAAACTAAAACTTGTCAAATGAGCATTAGTTCAAATCGCAGACTGTTTGATTGGAGTGGGTCTTGGAGCCTCTCTAATTAAAGCGCCGCCTCCCCAACCCCTGGAGCAGATTTAGAAGTGCCCGGAGGTACTAAATATAATGTGCATTAATGCACATGTAGATGCATCCACTAGGCACTTTTACACATGATCCAAGGATGGGGGGGGGAGTAGCCTCCCTACTCATGTACAGGCACCCACTGTGTAGTAAAATATATTCAAACCATCATAACTGAGATGGGCTTCTACTTACTGGAGACCAGGAAAATGTCTAAGGGTGTCACTTAATACTATAAAGTGGAATGTACTATAATCTGAACTTACTATTCAGACGAACACTTTCTCATTATAACAAGCCTGGGTTAGGAAAGGGAAAACTGAACTTTTTAGAAATGCATTTGTAGTGATTAGACTCAAATTCAGATTCTAACAAAACAATTAGGGACTCATTCCTCACTTTGGGCCTTGCTGGCAATGAAATCTTGTCCTTAATACAGCTAAGTCAGAATAGCTCAGAGGCAATTCCTCTCATACTATAGGGTCTCTTACATGATAACATCTCTTCTGGAATGATAAAGTGGCCAGAATAAAATGAAACCATGTGGGAACATGTCATTCCTACACTACAATGATTCTTGGTGAGGACTGGCAGTTTTAAGCCACCTTTTCAGAGCTGTACTTTAGGAAGATGAGCTGCAGGAAAGGATCTGGAGTTGTATTATTTATATTTAAGTAGCATCCATAGTTCTGGGTAAGAGTGCAATATACTTTACCTCTTAGACTTATCTACAGCATGTACATCTGCTCCTTTTTGAAGAAGAAATTCTACCATCCCTTGATGATTTTCAGTTATAGCCAGAGTAAGAGGTGTGTGCCCATCCTATGACAATAAAACAATGAGTTTTGATAGATTGATATATAACACACATATACACATTCACCTATTTTAAAATATTGCTTAATATATGTATTTGAAGAGGTTGATTTTTTAAAAGGGAATGCTGAATGAAATGGCCCGTACCAGGCACTCTCAGTAACATGGAAAGAGACCACATGTTGTTTGTTTGCATGGTGACCAATACTTACATTGACTGACTCCTGTCAGGAGGGAGCTTGCTCTGGGTGAGTACAGACAATAAACAGAGGCTGTGAGCCTGCAAAGGACTGACTGAACTTGTTAAACCCAAAGCCACTACAGTCTGCCTTATATGTCAGGCAATTTTCAGATTGTCCCATGAACCCACTATATGCAGCTTAAACTGTAACAGATATAGCGCAGGCCACAGTAGCACAAACTTCCCCATACTGATGTAAAATGTTTTATTTTGACCCAGAGAAACCATCTGTAGGGTAAAAAGTGATAAATGGGATCTGCTTCTAAAACCGTCTTAATCTATGTCATTTATGGTGAGACTGACAACAAAACAAAGGTGGTAGGTAGTACTATTTTTCACTTAAATTAAGACAGCTGTCAATGGCAGACAAGGTTCTCTGGGTAAATGTGATATCTTTTATTAGACCAACCAAACAGTTGGAAAAAATTGCTCTTTGTGAGCTTTGGAGCACAAATACCCTTCTTCAGGCACAGGGAAAAGTCTGCTAGTGTTATGTCTTCACCAGCAGACTTTCCCGATGCCTGAAGAAGGGTGTTTATGTCCAAAAGCTTGCAAAGAACAATTTTTAAAACTACTTAGTTGTTCTAATAAAAAATATCACATTTACCCAAAGAACCTTTCCTGCCTATGTCCTTAGACCAACCTGGCTACAACCAACCATACAGCTGTCAATGCACAGTTGTAACATGAGAGTCAGTTACTAAACTCTTATTCAAATTAGAGTAAAAAGAGAAGGAATACGTCATTTTTACATCTCTGGATTCTCAGAATCCTACAACACACAAGCTTCAAAACCTCAATTCCAATGCTACACTAGGTTAGGCGGAAATCAGAAACCAGCAAGACTCAACTCTCATATATTTTGCTTCTCTACAAATCCATATCCCTTCACCTGCTCCAATCACCCAGCATTAACTTTGATCAACATCTACACAACATTACTAGGTTGCAAATTACTCATGCTCACACAGTTTACTTCATTTTTTATTCTCAAATTCAGTTCACAGGTCATGGCCTCTCTACCAAATACAATTACAGCTTTCTCAAAAAGGAGGTTACACTCACTTAATTCCCCCCACTATCCCCATTCCTGTAGATACGAGGCTTCCTCTCCATAGCCATAAGCTTTGGTTTTACTAGGATGTCTGCTCGACAGTGGCTGGGAAGCTACTAGGGTTCCTGAAAAGTTTTCCAAAGACTTTTGACTACAATGCCAAGGTAGAGACTAGGGAGGAGTGGGGGGGGAAGTTCATTTATTAATTTTGTATCATTTACTCTGATTTCTTTGCCAATCAGAATTGCCGAATGGCTGCTGATAACAGTCCATCACAGAGGCAGGTAACCCCTGGAACAGGTGCCAGAGCATGGCACGTGAAGGCATTTTGCTTGGCATGTGTAACTTGGGGCAGACAGTAGGTTAGGGGCCAAAGATGTACTGAGACAAGGATTGGCCAACTTGTGGCTTCCCTGTCATCCACCCCTGAAACACCAACTTCTTACAATTTGGAGCTGTGGGGTCTTTTGGCACTCTGCCCAAAAATGTTGCCAACCCCTGGCTTATCATTTCTTTTAATTGATTCAACTCCTAATTTCATAACCCTGTTTACAAGTCTGGAACTGCTGATATCATCCAGGATCCTGAAGCTTCAAGCATCTGAATGCTGGAAAAGCATGGCAGGAAAATTTCTGGGGCTATGCACAGATACAGCTCTATGAAAAAAAACTGCAGAGGGTTCAGTTATTAGGCCAGGGCAACACTACAAATTCCTCATGGAGCTGTTATGTTACCCCAGTATACCTGTACTAGGAAAACCTTCCTGCATGTAAATCTGGCCTCAGTTCTTTTTCCTGCTTCTTGGTATTGCTGGCAACAGTACTGCTGCCAGGTGTCACCCTTAAAAAACATGCTAGCAACGTCTTAAAAGCCAACACACTTACTTGTGAAATGCTATGCAGGTTTCATGATAAAACCAAAGTGTCTCTCGGTTGGAACATACCCCCTTGTCACAGGGGCTGCTTCACTAATATAATCTTTTTTTAAAAGTAAACTTATAGCTGTAATAATGCAAGCACCAAGTTTCTTAGCTTTAGGATTTTTAAAAGAGAATCTCCTTTGAAAATCTAAAAAACCCAAAAATAAGAACAATGTTTTTGTATGAGGATGCACCCCTTCCAAAACTGAACATAAAATATATAATGTTTGAAATTCTGTTTTTCTGAAAGTAAAGTTACCTTATTTTGTGCATCAATATCAGCATCATGCTCAAGTAACTCTATTGCTAGAGATATATTAGGAATACAGGCAGCAAAGTGAAGGGCCGTGTTGCAGTTAACATCAACGAGATTAGGGTCTGCACCATGTTCTAGCAGCAGAATTGCACATTTTTCTTGTTGGCATTGTACTGCCTGGAAGTATAACACAAAAAGAGGGAATAAATTCTAGAAGTTAAATTTTACCTTAAATAGAATTACTGCAAGTAACATAAAATTTGAAAATAAGGAAGATGATTTTAAACATATTAAGTATCATATTTTACACAAATGCTAACACCAACTTATGTTCCTATATTAAATATCTTGTAACTAACTAGAAATTAATACTGATACATCTGGCACAATCATAACAAGTATTCTACATACCTTCATTAATGGTGACCTGCTATCGTTGTCACAGAGATTTAGCTTGCACTTGTTCTCAATTAAATAGGAAACAATATCTAGATGTCCATTTGCACATGCCAGATGCAAAGAAGTCCTACAAAATAAAATATTAATGCATCAAATTAAACAGAAAAGAAAGCATAGTGTTTATATGACTACAGTAAATTTAAGATTTGGCTCAAATTATAGATTTTTGTACATCAACCTTAAAGAAAAAAGTTATGACCTATGGAAAAACTTCCATACTTCAAAGCATTACAAGCTAAGTATATAAAACTGAGAGAGGCAATAAAACACACACAAAGTAACACCCCCCCAATACCCCTGAACAAATATATTTATATACTAATCCTGCAAATGATTAGCAGTTGTACAGTTGTAAGGTTGGGATCTTAGTCTATAAAGAACAGATTGTATATTTTTCTTGTCATTCAAATGCCAAAGCTGAGAAAGAGTTTTAGAACTATGTTATGTATTTATAGGTGTATACACCCACACATGTATAGATATATACATATATGCATATGAGTATATATATATGACACAAGTGCACATGCACATTCTGCCCTCCCTATCCAAGCTAACTACTTCAGGAGGTGTAAGATCATACTGAGTGGAAAGAATTTACAATGTTTCTTAGCAGACTAACAAAAAGAAACTACCAACTTTAATATTTTATTGGGTAAAACAAACAAACAAACAAAAAGAAGTATTGCAATGTTTGTGGCAAACATACCTCTTTGAGACAAAACAGATTGCAAGTGCTGTGCCCAAGTGGCAAAACACTGACTGATGTAACAAAAACAATTCTCTTCATAAGTAGGACATAACTAAGAGCTTGTTTACTTGTGTTCCCTTGAAGCACAAAACATCAAAATAAGAATTTTGAAGTAACAGTTTTGATATAACTGTGACTAAATAAACATCCCCCTGTACCTCTACCATGAATCATTACTTTTATATAGCAGCCATGTACAAATATCCAATTTCTTCTGAGACAGTGTACTCATGTTCAGGATATTTGTCCTACGGTAGAAATGGCTGCTCCAGGAGAAAAATAATTTGGCAACAGCCAGGATTAAATTGCTCCCAAGACAGTTTCTCCTGGGGCAGCAAGCTGTACACATTGTCTTCTGAGAAATCACAGCACAGTCCTTCAGCATCCCAGGGTGCTCTGGCCTCCCCCACCTCCCCCCAGGAAGACAGTGCATTTTGGCTGCTCCAGGGCAGAACACACCCCCTTCACAATCCCCACACTGTGCTGCAAGGAAGCGCAGCCCAAAAGAGAGTTTGGGTCAGCCAATGAGGGCTCCCTGTGCACTGCTGTTACCTCTTGGGAGCAGACTTGGGAGTCTTCAGAGCATGCCAAGATGTGTGCACAATGCCCCTGGCTGTGCAGTGTTAGCACTGCAAGCTCTCTGCTCTTCAAGGGCTCAATATCACAATGTCTGTTCAGGCATCTCTGGGCAAGTTTCTTCTACCAGGAGAACCAACCTGGGAGAATCAGATTATCTGAACATATGTACTCAGTCATAGATCGAGGCAGCTCTCCTAAATTACGCACCACAGTCCTTTGTATAGCTGCCTTATTGTAAGTCTAATGGAACAGCTGTCACATCATATGCTCTCATCCAGATGAGCATGGATATGCGGCATGTGGCACCGCAGACTCCTCTGTAGCGCCACACACCGCACATTCAGGTATTGCCTGTGCTGCTCCCTTGTAGCACAGGTGGAAGGTTTGACCCGCGGAGATTCTGAGGTCAAAAAAAATCTCGTGCCTTAAAAAAGTGGGCAGCACACATGGCAATAGTGCACACCACCCAAAACCAGATCCTGGCCAGCCGGAACCACACTCCGGCTTCTAGCCAGGCTCCCAGCTGCAGGAGTGCCATGCTTGCAGCTCCCCAAGGACCCCAGATAAAGCTGCTGGGGACAGCACAATTGGTGACCCCAGCTTCCCCAACCACACCTAAGGTAACCTGCCACCTGCCAGAGGGCACATGGCATGGGCGTTCCCCAGGGACAAGTAGCAGCAGCACAAGGTGTGCCACTGCTTCTTGTTCCCAGGGAAAAAAACATCCGTGCTCATGTGGATGTGGTCTACATCCCCAAAAGTAGCAAGAAGTCCCTATAATTCCACATTAGAGGATTAAAAACTAAAAATCCTCCTTTTCTTGGAACTAGACAGTGCCATTCTCAAACTTCAACAAGGTCCACATGGATGAGCAATATCTCTACCCTACTACACTGCTGGTCAGGAATACTCTACTGTTTTGATGTTCTACACAATGGAATGTACCTGTGGCCAGTTCTAGCAGATGATGTGGAACCAGCATCAGCCACAACAAGTTTGGATACAGATATTCCCTTTCCATGGCAGTTTATGAGCCTGGGAGCCCTACTCAAGTGATAAAGGTGATAAGGGTAAAGAAAATGACATGATCCTGATGATGCTCCAGAAGCAAGTGCTGTTGCATCCACTACAGTGTGGATTGCTGGCTCAAAAACAAGCATGGACTCGTGAGAGAGGATTATTCTGCAGACCTAGGATAAACAGAAGCAGCAGAACTTTAAAATGATGAGGGCCACTTTTGAGGAAACCTCCATTCAGCTTACCCCAGGTCTGCAGAGGCAACACACTGACAGAAAACTTCTCCTTGGCTGCAAAGCAGAACATGACTATCTGTATCTCAAAGCTTACTATGTTCACTTGTACAGATCTGTTGCAAACTATTTTGGTATAAGCAAATTAACCATTAGGGCTATAGCAACAAAAACATGTGCTGCCATTATCCACATACTGCTGCAACATGTAATAAAACTTGCAGTTCTTCAGGTTCTGGAAGGCTTTACAGACATGACCTTCCCCAGTTGCCCTAGACAGTTGTTGGAATCCGCGCCTATCAACTGCTGCCAAGGCTAGTGAAACTTGTATGCTCAAGGCACCCCTTGTTAGACTTGAGGCATCCCTTGGAAAATACCAGATTTTTGTTTTTATTTTTTGACTACAGAAAAATAATAGAGCAATTTTTCAGTTGCAAAGAACTCACAAACTCACAACAGGTCAGAATGGTTGTGATGCTATTTGAAGACTTTGGGTATATCTTCTGAATTATTTTTGTACACCTAACAGAGCAAAAGCACTCTGGTTGAGAATCAGTGTATTAACTATTGCCCAAAACAGCTGGAAGGTGACAGCAGAGGGTACCTTTGGAGATTAAAGCCTAGATGGTGGGTGTCTGGTTTATGACATAAGGTACCCAAGCAGTTTCCTACTTTGGATTTTAACTGGTTGCTATATATTTACCAAGGGCTGTCCTGTTTACCAGGACACCCCTTGGAATAACCAGGAACAACACCCACAAGCTGATAGAGAGTAGATTTAGGCTGGACATCAGAAAGAGATTCTTCATAGTTAAGAGTTGCCAGAATCAGGAATGGGCTTCCAAGGGGGGGGGTGCTCTCCCCTACCTTGTGGGTCTTCAAGAAGAGACTGAACAAGCACCTGGCTGGGGTCACATGACCCCAGCACTTTTTCCTGCCATGGGCAGGGGGTCAGACTTGATGATCCATTGAGGTCCCTTCCGACCCTAGCATCTATGAATCAGCCCTGTGAACTCTCTGCTCTCCAGGGGTTCAGCATTCAAATATCTGTTCAGATGTCCCTCGGGGTACGTTTTTCTACCTAAGAGAATTCTCCCAGATCATTTCAGCTGGGAAGATTGTGTGTGCAGCAATAATTAGCGTTCTCCTCCAGGTTTCTACTGGTAGCCTGCTGGTGGTGTCTAACAAAGGGTTTAGAAGAAAGGGACTTTGAGACAAACTAGTGGGTGGCTTGGACTCCTGCATCACAACTGTCAGCAACATCCTTGTGTAAAGACTTTTCCAACCTCAAAGGCTTCCTGGGGATGTCTGTATTATCCACAAAACGTGGCTTAATGCAAGTGTCTCCTGTGAAGACTTGTTCAGAGTGACACAATATGGGAGAGTGGCTCACCTAGCGCAGAACTGACAATTGTCTTAGGCCTGACTGAAGCCGTAAAATGCATGGAACAATGTTGATGTCCCTGAACTGCCAATTCCTTGGCTAATCTTCATACGCTTCCTCGTTGAGGCTGTTTTGAGTGAGACCTTTCCATACCTTAGTTTCACCTCACAGTTCTAGAAGGCAAAGGATCTCAGCACTTGCTCCAACAGCAGGTGCAATGAAAAAGCACTCTTTTAGTGGGCAGACAGTGCGCGCAAACAGGAAGTACAGCTGAACTTCCAAGGTGCTGATCTCTGAAATGTCTGGGTACAGAAAGAAGGAATCTGGCCATGCACCAGTATTTAAATGTAGAGGTAACATCTGCTCTCCGTGAGCATGGAGCAATAGAGACCACACGGTATACTGAGTAACCAGTTCAGTAGAGAGTAGAAAACAGCGTGGAGAACAATTTCATGGAATGGGATGGGGTGATACAAACCCTGCTCTGAAAGTTAGTAGACCCAAAATAAAACTCTTTGGGACTGCAATACATAAATCCACTGTATTTGCAGAATACCATGCAACATTTTATCCATTCAACTTCTCGTTAATTTTACTCATAACTTTATAGGTGAAACCCACATGCAGCGCTTGAAAATTTGAGTGAAGTTTTTGTTACGATAAGGGTAATGATGGGTCAGTAGAATCAAATCTCACAACTTGTGCTGCCTGCTTGAAGGATCATTACTACATAATTTATGCTCCTCTTGTGTAACTGACTGAAAGAAACACTTTTCAGAAATATCAGGCTCTCTGGAGCTGCTGTACAATCATTTGAGCCCCTATGCCAAAACATGACCTGAAACTAATAACCACCTTGGACTTTCCTTCCAACAGATTTCCTTGAATAAAAATCTAAGTAGCTTTGCAACAAGTGCTAATACACCAAAGTATATTTAACTTAATTTTGAACATAGTTCTTTTCTGACAGCACTGGCTCATGTGTTCTGTACATCTGCATTTGAACTATGGCAGGGGTGGCCGGTAGCCAATCCTTTCAACTTTTGGTATCTTTTTAGTGTTAATGTTAACAGTGAAACAAATCCTGCCACAATCCTTCCACTTTAGGAGATGTGGGGTGCGGGGAAAGCCTGTGGCTCCTCTCAATGGTTGGGAGAGGTAGTGAGCTATGTTAGTCTGAAGTCAAGTAGAAAACAGGGTAGATATACACTTTCACAGACTAACTTAAGATTAGATAAAGAGCTTTGGTGAACCCAAGTTCCATTGTTGGCAGGCTGATGTAAGGCCTATTTGATATACATAACAGATGTGGGCATGAGCGCCCACAGAAACTGTCTGCATGCACACATCCAAGACAACTCTCTCAGGTTTGTTTTCCTAAGACAAAAACTGACCTATACAGAAGTTCAAACAAAGAAGGAAAGAGCCTGAAATGTGGATACTGGCCAACTAGGGGACCCTAGAGCATGCAGCCCAGAGAGCACTGCAGGCTTTTTTTTTTTTTTTTTTTTTTT